TATATTATTTTGACAGGTGGATTAAGCATTAAGACATTTCATTACACCAAATACACAAAATAATGTTCTTTTTTTTTTTAGCAACGTCATATGACCCCTTTAAATATAGTTCAAAATTCGTAAGGAATTTATTGAAGGGAATTTGAATGCATGTGTTATATATATCCATCCATCCAACATCTTGTCGATTAGTTGAGGTCAACTGTTTTTTTTTCTTATTTTTATCTGAATGTAAGTTTTGATGTGGTGCTGTCACAATATCAGATTTTTAGAACATGATTATTGTGGCCAGAATAATTCACAATAACAATATCATTGGAATATCTACATAAATAACAAAACATTTTATCGGTCACATTCACTTTTTTTGTGTGTTTTCTGTTGTTTTTGGCCTATGGACATTCAAGATATGAAAGTAGGGAAGTGGAGTTAAAGCGTTCGTAACCATAGCTATACAAAAGTGCACAAAAATAATTAACTGTTGATCAACACTTGCTGCAGTCTTTTTTGGAGAATCAAGAAACTCCTACACTGGTGAGTTAACTTTTCCTGCTTTCTTTTGTCATCTCCACTGACATGAATTTGTTCTACAGTAGTAGATACACTGCGTTTGTCTTTTTTTCATATATATATATATATATATATATATATATATGTATATATATATATTATTTTGACAGGTGGATTAAGCATTAAGGTGCAATATTGCCTCCTAAGTTTGCTGACAATGTGATGCTCTTTAGGTGTTCAGATGGTTAAACCCTCTCTGAAAAGCCATACACATTCAGATGAATATTTTTGGAAGTTGTTGTGCATTTCATGCTGATTTTGAATGTTCTCTAATTAGCCTTTTTAAATACAAGGACATCTCCCTATGAAAACACCCCATAAAGTGTCCAATAAGCGTCAGAGTTTCCTTAAAGGCATGGTTCACCCAATAAAATGAAAATTCTGTCATTTACACACCTAAATATCATTCCCAATCTGTATGACTTTCTTTTTTTCTGTGGAACTCAATGGAAAGCTGTTTGGTTACCAACATTCTTCAAAATATCTTTTGTGTTTCTCAGGAAAAAAAAGTAAGTCATACATGAGAATGAGTAAATTATGAGATAATCTTGATATTTAGGTGAACTATTCTTTAAAGACTGATCAGTCAAGTAGTCATTTCAGGCATCCAACCAGTCATTGTTGAACACCAACGCGCATGCCATTTATACCTAGTGTTTTTGGGGTTTCCGGCCTGCTGGGGGGCAGCGAGCAGGCCACACTGTCAGGGGAACTCCTAGCTATGATGTACGGCCTGGGGTCCACTCAGGAGTGAGAAAGTTCAGGTTTATATGGGCCGGGCTCTAACAGCTCAATAACACAGGCCCGTAATCTACTCGGGTTTCAAACACAGGGCTGATTTACGAGCCAGCACGCCACACCGGCATTGAAATGAGGTGTTCAGCATATGTTTTGTTGACATAAATTTTAAATTTATTGCCGTTGTCAAAACTGACTGTTAGACAAAGTCGCTTATTAACTGAGTAAATGGCTTGAGAGTTTTATGCCTGCTTCCTTAATGACTACAGTCAAGTCTGTTTCAGGCACACAGAGTGCACCCCTCCCCTTTCTCTTCTGCTTTCACACACACACCATCTACAGTTTCTGTGGCAAAGCCAGAGCACAGCTGGTTGGAGAGGCCTGAGGGGAAAAGGAACTGCCATAGTTCACACATACGAAGTGTGTGTGTGTCTTGAAGAGGTGGGGTGCGGGGGCATATATGTCCCATAAAATCTAGAGGCTTTACTTCTGGTTGTCCAGAAAATAGAAGTTGTCGGTATTGCAGGGGCAGGTGCCCCGGCGACTTTGCCTTTATGACAGGACTGCCGCGCTCCATGCTGGAAGCAGGTTTGAGCATGTCATATTCAGGGTCGTCTTCTAAAAATGAAGCACCGATAAAACGAATTACCTCCCTCTGATTTTAAGCAAACTGTGGTATTGCATGTAAACGTCTGACTGTTTCAATAAAGGTCAAATCAAATGCAGTCACTCTTCAGTAGGTTTGGGACTAGGGATGCATGATAGATAGTGCTGATATGTATTTTCATGTCATAGCTAACAATCAACATATGACCAATACTATTGACTACCAATATATGACCATTACTATATAACCAACACTATTTTGTCTTTAAATCAAAAATAAAACTTTAAACTAAGTGGCTGGCACTTTTGTTATTAAATTAAACATATTTCATTAAACATTTAAATACTACAAATTAATTTAGGCATCACATGACAGTACTATGAAAATGGATATTCATTTAGAGATTTGGTAAATCTCTAAATGAATTAGAAGAAAGATTAGAATTATTAGTGTACTCTCAAGATCAGTTGTGAGTGAGTGTTAGATGACAGCAAAGGTAATCCAAATTTAAAAATAGGGGCTATAATAATGTACAAATAATTATTTATTTATTATTTTTATTTTTATTTTGTTGTTATTTTTCCTTATTTGTTTTTAATGCATGTCAATATAGATTAATTGTATTTCAGTTATATTTTAGTTTTCAGTTTTTATCAAGATAAGCTTAATGAAAATGAGAAATAATGTCTTGGTGATTTTCTGAAATATATATTTTATTTCAGTTAACATTTATTTTAAATAACGGAAATGTTTTTTTTTTAATAGTTTGTTTTAGCTAACAGTCCTGCTTCCAATATATTGCGCAATCCTAATTCACAGTGACGTTTGTTAAGGTAGTAAATGTTTTGATGATTGCACAAGTCTCTTATTCTAATGTACTATATATATATAGTGAAAGTCCTTCCTGCCTCAAGTAGCCAGTCTGCCTTCTATCAGCTCTGAAATGTCCCCTCAGGGCTCGGAGGGTCACTCCGACAGTATGCACTCTCTGTCAGTCTCTAATCAGTGGAAGCGCGCTCTCCTCAGACCTCAGGAGAGGGACAATGGCTAGATTGAAGGCCCACAAAGGCCTTTGAGTGTTCCCCCTACAGTATCTCTGTATTGTGCCGCATTAGCACAGATCCCAAAGGTGCACAGACCCCTGGCTTTTCCCAGCTCCCCCTCGCGCGCTCACTCGCCCGCCCGTCTTTTGAAGTGCCCTTTATCCTGGAAGGCGTTTACAGGCCTTTTTAATTACTTGCAGCTTGCCAAAGGGCTTTGCTGCTTCATTCTTCTCTTTGTTTGTTGGGTCTCCACAATCCCCATCTAGAAGACAGCTATCAGGATTTTGGATGCGTTGCAAGTTTTCTCTCACCCCCCCACCCTTTTGTTTATTTTCTGAAGTCTCTCTTTTGTGATTCTCAGCCCTCAAATGGTTTTCCATTGGTGTTTTTTTTTTTTTCTGTCTCTCTCTCGCTGAGGTTAAACCACACTTCCTTGCTTCATAATTCTTGCCACTATTTCCATGTTCTGCCAACTCTTGTTTATAAGAACAGAATAAAAGCTTAAATCATTACAACCCAGCATGTGACGCTGATTCTCACAACGTCAAACGGAAACGAGGGGTTGTTTGATAAAAATAGTTTTTGGTTAGTGCATCTTTATAGAAGAATCAACCAAAGAATCAATTGAACCAAACAGATTATGGATTTCACTAGCATGAAAATGACAAAAGCACTAGCATTTAAAAGAAACAAAAACCTGCCTTGTGCAGTGCGCATTATCTATGTAGTATGAATAGAAAGCGAAGAAAGTACACGTCTTTGTTCCTCATTAAAGATGTATACATTTGGCACTAAAGTGCAAACAATGAGCTAATTACCACTCTGGAAACAATTACCAAATGCTTTAAGCATGCTAATAAAAACCAATTCAGTTCACCACTTGCAGCAAGTTGCCAGTGTTCTCGCGGCATTCTTACAAACCTAGTACTTTGAGCAGCTCGTCACTCCACCGCAACCCATAAAACCACTTACTGTACCTGCCATGACTGAGTTTCATATTCTTAACGAGTGGCAGTGACCAGCCTGAGTTTGTTAATTCGCTTGCATTGACTTTCGATTGTTTCTACTTGCTTATTAGCAATCGCATGCGATGCATCTGAGGATTAGTGCGGTTGAAAAGATGCAGATGCTCGAGATCTTTTGTTTTCAAGCCTGAGAAAGTCACACATGTGCATTCACTAGTTGATTTGAATCCACACATGGGTAAGGGCCAAAGCAGAATGCTAATGATTGAAATGTTAAATACACTTAAACATAGCCAGTCTGCACCAGGTTTCAGGCTTTATTCAAGGGACAGATAAACAAAAGGAGATCTTTTTCTCTGCCTGTACTCAATGGGGCTCCATGTGGCAGTCCTGACTCACTTGGTGCCCTAGGCGAGATAAGACATGACCAAAGGGAAAAATACTTTTATTAACTACTTGGCAGTTGTTGTTTTTTTGTTTTTTTTCTAGTAGTTGCAAGCAACATGAGTGATTTAAAACTTGATTGGACTGAGAAAATGTAGATTTCTTAAGCAATGTTTTAGACACTTAAGTACGTTAATTGCACAGCTGCTTTGAAAGTCCACTTGACTCATGCTTTTGTGTGACTCCATTCTGTTGGGTTAATCTTTCCCCGATACTCTGAGATGTTATAATTTAAGAGAACAAATGTTTCTCTTTTAGCCTCATGAAAAGTTGACCCCTGTTTGAAATGGACCCTGCAGCCAAATTCAGCCGTTATGGTCACTCTTATCTGGGGACTCATGGCCATCTATATGTTCCTGTTTAGATAAAGGGCTCCTTCATCTCCGCTTGGGGATCTGAATGAATGAACAATAGGACTTTGAAACCGCATGTGCCATTGATAATTTTCACTTTCAAGGCATTTCATGGCATCTACAGTAGTGATAGGCTTAAATATACATATGATTGTCTAAATATGGGAATAATTGGCTGAAGTGACACGGAGATGTGCAAGTTTAGCTTCATATGGTTGCAAACAATGATTTATTCCACTCTCAAGAAGATAAACAGTTTTACAAACATCACTTTAGTATTTCCCAAAAACAAGGGCTCTGGTCTTAATACCCTCCTTCTTGTTATCTGGTGTAAGAGGAGTGAAAGGACATGTGGTGGGAAGTAAAATTATGCTATTTTGCCTTTGCCATTTAGCACGCTAGTCGAATCTCTAGTATACACAGGTGCTTTCCTGATTTTTGTGCGAGTGACATAAATGGTGTTGGCTGATGTTATTTTGTCCTGTTTCTCCCTGCAGGAAGCTGCACAGCGGAATGAAGACCTACGGATGCGAGCTTTGTGGAAAACGCTTCCTAGACAGTCTGCGCCTAAGGATGCACTTGCTGTCTCACTCAGGTAACATCACTCATAAGGATGCTTGTTTTTAAGGGTTGGGTGAAATTCTGAATTCATGTTCATGCATTTGAAAGTTGAATTGGAATGACAGGAAGAGGAATTGAATTGCAATCAACAGAATTTTAAATAATTTTATAGTTTAATTAAATTAGTTTTAAATAATTGTAAAAATTGTATAATTAAAATAATAATAATAATTTTGACCTATGTTTGGGTTCAGTATTTTGTAAAAATATTTTTGAAAGTTGCTTATGCTCATCAAGATTGCATTTATTTGATCAAAAATATAGAAAGCGCAATAATATTGTGAAATTATTACAATTTAAATTAATTTAAAAAAATTATTTTAACATTGTAATGCAATTTATTTCTGTGATTGTAAATGGATTTTCCTCATCATTACTGCAGTCTTCAGTGTCACGTGATCCTTCAGGAAATCATTCTAATATGTTGGTTCGGTGCTCGAAAACAATGCTGCTTAATATTCTTGTAGAAACCACATTAATTCTTTCAGGATTTTTTGATAAATTAAAAAAATAAAAACTTAAAGAACAAGTCTTTTGTCAAAACCTTTTGTAGCGTTATAAATGTCTTTACCGTCTCTTTTTGTCTTTTTGATTAATGTAATGCATCCTTGCTGAATAAAAGCATTAATTTACTTAAAAACTCTAATCTTACTGACCCCAAACTTTTGAACAGTAGTATGTTTCTATCTATTTTATAGGTCGAATCCTGGAATATCTACATTTGTTTGCAGTTAATTTTTGGAGGCTGTATGTTTTTTTTTCTGGAGTGGGAGAGTCTTTTCTTTAATAGAGAAGTGCTCTTTTCGTGGTCTGTAGTGAATCTGGTTTATATAGAGTCTATAAAAGCAGTGGGACTCCAGGTTTCCACCCCAGGCCAACAGGAATCTACCTTCACCTCCCTCTGCGATTGCCAAATTCACAGGCCAGAGAAGCCAAAGTCCTTACCGCACAGCAGATATGCACAATGGTCAAATTTTGTAGACTTTTTGCTCCCCTATCGAGCGCACTCATGTTTATGATAATTAAAAGCGAGTGCTGTGCCGAGGTAATTGATTCCACAGTAATTAGGGGTTTAGATTAGATTAGATTAGTTTAAAAAAAAAAACTCACAGATTACACCACCAAACCTTTCCAACTTTCCGCCTCGCAGCGGTGGAATATTTCAATGTCAATATCTTCATATATTGAGATAAGATTGACTTTTTGCTGGGACGTTTAAAAACATGTGGAGTGGAGAGATGAGTGACATCTCACGCTGGGCCGCCCAATTCAATTCATGCACGACTCAGCATGGCAGACGCTGCTCTAAGGAAATATCTAATGTTTATTTTAGAGGCTGTTCAAATCCCAAGATGCATGTTCAATAACAGACTCTGTGGAGATATTGTAGTACTTGTGCGCTCATAATGGCAGCCCATGGAGCATGTACTGCATGGTGACATTTATGAGAGCTGTTCTGCGATGAGACGAATAGGCCGAGTCTGAACTCCGATGAATACCTCTGTTTGGTTCTTCTTCCTTTGGTGCTACTTTGTCCTGTGCTGTTTTTTTTTTTTTTTGCTTTTCTGCTTCATCTTCCTCTGCTACAGCTTTTACTGTTCCTCTGCTCCTCTTCTTCCTGTTCTTTTGCTGCTGCTGCTGCTTCCTCTGCTGCTGCTTCTCCGTCTATTTCTTCTTCCTTTGCTGCTTCATTTTCCTGTGCAGTTTGCGGGGCCTCACACTTCACCCTCTCTGGATTACTGCGGGAGTCTACTGTAGTCCGAATGTCGGCCCCTGCGGCTCAAGTGTCCTCGGGTTTAAACGTAGTCTCATTTTCTCAAACAACAATGCTGTTTTTTAAAGTTGTACCACGTGATTCTTCCTCGTCCTGTTCCGCTTCCTCTTCCTGTTCTGCTTCCTCATCTTCCTTATCTTTTTATGCTGCTTCATCTGTTGCTGCTGATGCTTCTCCTGCTGTCTTCGCCTGTTGCTTTTTCTTCTGTTGCTTCTTTCTTTGCTGCTGCTTCCCTATTCATCTGCTGTTTGTTGTTTTTCTACTTATTCATCTTCCTCTGCTACTGCTTTTACTCTACCTCTGCTCTTCTTCTTCCTTTTCTTTTGCTGCTGCTGCTTCTTACTCTGCTGCCGCTTCTCCGTCTATTGCTTCTTCCTTTGCTGCTGCTTCCTTTTCCTCTGTTTTTGTTGATTTTCAACTTGTTCATCATCCTCTGCTACTGCTTTTACTCTTCCTCTTCTTTTGCTGCTGCTTCTGGTTTTTCATCTCTTGCTTCTGTTGTTGCTGCTGTTTCCAATTCCTCTGCTGTTTTGATGCTTTTCTACTTCATCTTCCTCTGCTACCGCTTGTACTCTACTTCTTCCTCTTCTTTTGCTGCTGCTTCATCCTCTTTCTGCTTCTCCATCTATTTCTTCTTCCTTTGGTGCTACTTTGTCCTGTGCTGTTTTTTTTTTTGCTTTTCTGCTTCATCTTCCTCTGCTACAGCTTTTACTGTTCCTCTGCTCCTCTTCTTCCTGTTCTTTTGCTGCTGCTGCTGCTTCCTCTGCTGCTGCTTCTCCGTCTATTGCTGCTTCCTTTGCTGCTTCATTTTCCTGTGCAGTTTTTTTTTGCTTTTCTACTTACCCTCGCTCCTCTCGGCTGGTGCACGCCGTCTCTGTTTGTTTTATTGTGGACTTGGAAGGGCGCCAGTCTGGGCCGCCTGCCACAACCCAGGGTACAGTATGTACAGTGACTCTTGCGCCAGTTTTTCTTTTTCTTTTTTCAAATTATTGTCTGACAGCAGCGGTTGTGGTGGCTATTTTGTTTTGTTTTTTTTTCTTCTGGGGCTTTCGAGGCCTCACGTCCTGGAGTTTGGGTGGAAGTGCATTGCGGTGAGAGGCTGATAATGGAAAAGTGTGTGTGTGTGTTTTTTTTCTCAGGTTTAAGGTCAGCATGGTCTGGGAGCTGCTGGGTAGTGAGGCAGCACACCACTGGAGCAAAAAAGGGGGGGGAAAAGTGACTCAGCCATTTGGAGCACGACTAGGCTATTAGTGTTATGTGAGCTTCCCTTGTGACTTCAAAGAGTGCAGAGCATGGTCTGGGTAGGCTAGCCAAGGGACATATTTTGATCTATTTTTGAAAGAAGAGGCAAAGCTTCTTGCTGGGATTACAGATCAACATTGTCTGACAGCAGCGGTTGTGGTGGCTATTTTGTTTTGTTTTTTTTTCTTCTGGGGCTTTCGAGGCCTCACGTCCTGGAGTTTGGGTGGAAGTGCATTGCGGTGAGAGGCTGATAATGGAAAAGTGTGTGTGTGTGTTTTTTTTCTCAGGTTTAAGGTCAGCATGGTCTGGGAGCTGCTGGGTAGTGAGGCAGCACACCACTGGAGCAAAAAAGGGGGGGGAAAAGTGACTCAGCCATTTGGAGCACGACTAGGCTATTAGTGTTATGTGAGCTTCCCTTGTGACTTCAAAGAGTGCAGAGCATGGTCTGGGTAGGCTAGCCAAGGGACATATTTTGATCTATTTTTGAAAGAAGAGGCAAAGCTTCTTGCTGGGATTACAGATCAACATAGGCTGTTTGGCATATATCATCTGTATTTTTAACTTTAAAAAAAAAATATTTTTTTTTAAATCTGCAGCTTAACTGACTATAGCTGTTAGAGGTCAACAGAGATTGTATTAATATAATGTAAAACGTTTTTGTATTAAAAATACATTTTATTTTATACCTCTTGATATATTTTACATATAATAATAATAATAATAATTGTTCTGTATATGCATTTAAAAATTTTCAAATGTTTTTATGTATATTATATATATATTTAAAATATAATTATAAATGTATATTATATAATCATAATTATCTCTATGCATAGCTATTTTTATTTTTTCAGGATGTTATGCAACTTGTCCATGTTCGCCTCTGACTATTTTTTCTAACTACTTAATGGAAAAGTGTGTGTGTGTGTTTTTTTTCTCAGGTTTAAGGTCAGCATGGTCTGGGAGCTGCTGGGTAGTGAGGCAGCACACCACTGGAGCAAAAAAGGGGGGGGAAAAGTGACTCAGCCATTTGGAGCACGACTAGGCTATTAGTGTTATGTGAGCTTCCCTTGTGACTTCAAAGAGTGCAGAGCATGGTCTGGGTAGGCTAGCCAAGGGACATATTTTGATCTATTTTTGAAAGAAGAGGCAAAGCTTCTTGCTGGGATTACAGATCAACATAGGCTGTTTGGCATATATCATCTGTATTTTTAACTTTAAAAAAAAAATATTTTTTTTTAAATCTGCAGCTTAACTGACTATAGCTGTTAGAGGTCAACAGAGATTGTATTAATATAATGTAAAACGTTTTTGTATTAAAAATACATTTTATTTTATACCTCTTGATATATTTTACATATAATAATAATAATAATAATAATAATAATAATAATTGTTCTGTATATGCATTAAAAAATTTTCAAATGTTTTTATGTATATTATATATATATTTAAAATATAATTATAAATGTATATTATATAATCATAATTATCTCTATGCATAGCTATTTTTATTTTTTCAGGATGTTATGCAACTTGTCCATGTTCGCCTCTGACTATTTTTTCTAACTTCTTCAGTGTAGGCTATTATTATAAATGTATCTGTAGCTCAAACTACTCATGTATTAATGTATTAATATATCTTCTAATAAAATAATAATTGTAATAATTTCATATAATAATTTTGACACTTTACGTTTATACATTTAAAACATATTCATAGAAGTATTTTATATTATAATTACTATAATATGTTTGCATAGTTATTTTTTTCATAGTTTCCAGGATATTACGCAACTTGTCCATGTTGGCTTCTCACTAATTTGTCTAGCTTCTTCAATGTAGGCTATTATGCTTTTTTTATGTCTGTATAAAACCATCTTTTAATCTGTATTTAACCATCTGCAGCTTTTCCAGTTCTCCAGACAAACAGAAGGTCCACAACCTGAGGCAAAGTA